GAAATTATATAGGGCGAGGTTCAACCAATTGGTTATACTATAAAAAAAAAATTCACTGATCAGATTTAGCCCCATGTTCGAAATACGTGAAGATTTAAGGTTCTCAACAGATCTTGACATGATTAGGAAAAATGTTGGTATCAAGTCTAAAATTTAGAATTTTGCGGTATAAGATACCAACAGATACTTGTAAATCAGTTCGATATTTTAATATCTTCAATCTATCATAAAGAAACACAAGTACGAAATGTGAGAACCCACAAAATATCAACGAGTTATTTAAAAACATCAGCACTATCTATTGATGTAGCTCCCATTTGACAGTCTGACAAATCAGAGTCAGTTTCCCGGGTTGACGATTTACTCGTTTTCTTGCCAGGCCGTAATAATGGTGAAGACGGAGGCTTCTCCCCTTTCTTTACTTTTGATTTAGTCTTTGATTTTTTCTCTTCCTTTTTGCCCTTTTTTATTTTCTTTTCTTCTTCCCGTCTTCTTTCTGCTTCTTTTAACCTTTCTTCTTCCTTAATGCGCTTTTCTTCTTCTTCCTTTTCTTTCAAATATTTCTTCTCATCCTCAACATCATGTTGAATTGAGAATATTCGAGAGCGAACATATACGAAAGGTCTCGATTTAGGAGGAATTTGCACTTTCGGAGGTTCTTGTGGCGGTTTAGGTGGTGGAGTCCACTTTACGTTTGTGTGGATAATTTCAGGCTTCTGCTCCATATCTTTCTTCTTTTTAGAGAAGAGCCTCTGCATAAACCCCGTCTTTTCCCTCTTCTGTTGACTCTTTGGATCAGATGAAGCTGTAGACTGTCTTGCCTTGTAGTCTTCTTGGTTGGTGGCCGGGTCAACATATTTATCACTTGTTCCAGAGGAAATAGTGCCTATGGAAGGAGTAAGCGAAAGAGTCATTGAGTCACCCGATGTAACTGATAGAAACGAAACTTCTGAAGAGTCTGAACAAGACGACGGTGTTCTGGTCTCTGATATGGCTGGAAGAGGTGATCGAGAGTGCGGTTTCTGGGATTTCTGATTACTAGAATATATCTCTGAAACAGGCTTTTCTGGTGAAACTTGACGATTGCTTACTGGGATTTTACTGGGTGAAGCTTGACGGGGGCTCGGAGATGATCTCATCGGAGGGGAGTGTCCTGCCTTCTTCAGTAGTGTATGAGTTGGTACTGTAGCTATTCGACCTGGAGCTGAGTTATATCTCAGTAAAGGCAATCTACTTGGAGGTGATGTTGGTATCATTAAGGCACTCAATGGCGAGTTCTCAGTGGAAAATTGCCGTGGAAGACTTCTTGATTTATAGCTGTTGTAATCCTCTGTTTTCTTTCCTTTCAGTGTCGTGATTGGCTGTGGTTTACGTTGAGTTTTCCGCATCAACACGGGTGACACACTTGGCTGACTATGGAGAGGCGGTTGAAGGGTATCCTTTTCACTTGACTGAGGTTTCTCTGAAGGCTTTACACTTGTCTTTGATTCACCAACACTGGGATCATGATCATTCTTGTTAAGAGAAATGTCATTATTTTTAAAAACCTTCTCCGGTGTTTTAGAAGAAGATCCACGTGGTCGTAACACGGGTGTTGGCGGCGAAGAGACAGATTCCCTTTGAGGTGTAGTTTTAGAACTCGTTTTCAGAATAGATTTGATGGGGGTAGGACTTCTTGGAGCAGATTTTGTCGTTGGATTTTCAGATTGTTTTCCTGAGTCTTCTTTTAGAATAACGGGAGGTGGTAGTAGTTCTTTTGATTTGGTCTTTGATTCTTTCTTGTTCCCTGGTTTGCTGTCCTTTGGTTTTCTCGAGGTTTCTGCCAGGAGTTGCTGTAGTTGTTTTTGGCGTTCCTCTTCTGATTTTTCAACAGGTGAGCTTTTCGCATTTAGACTTGATGAACTGTCAGTTAAAACAAATGATGATGTTAGCTCAGATGAGTCCGAGCCATGTCTTTTCGAATGAAAACCTTTTCCAAAGAATGCTTCGGTGTCACTGCTAAGTCTCATTGTTGGACTGTTGAGTCGATCAGACACATTTCTCAGTTTTGATATACATTCTGAAATTTTTCCATCCAGGAGAGTTGGGTCTGTTTCTACCGATACGTCCACCACTTCGGCTTTAGCTGTCATTGTCACTTTGTCTGAAACAGGAGCCTTATGGACCGATGCTTCACGTTGTACTCTACCGCCAAATTTTGATGCAGTTTCGGTAATAAATTTTGATTGACTGGTACTAGTTGCCTTATCAGTTCTTGAAACATAAAAAGTCATAGTTCCTTTAGAAAATAAATGTCTGATAGGTGTACACGTTTCTTTTTCAAATGTTAATTTTGAATGAGTATTAACGCCAATGTTTTTGGTAAACAAAAATTGGTCGTCGGTGACCGGAGTTGATGTTCCCGGTGGAGAGAATGTCTGGGTTCCTGTTTCAATTCCATCCAACCAGTCTGTAGAGGTTTCGTCATCAACCATTTCGATATCATTGTCAGACGAGCTGTACTCAGACACGAGATCAAAATCAGCTTGGGGAAATACAATAATATCATCAACGTCTATTTCACTTAATAATCCAATGTAAGGCAGTGATTCTGTAGATGTTGCTACATCAACGTAGTCCTTGAGGTTACTTTGAGGTTCGTCCAGATCAAAGGCAGCACTGACTGATTTGTCTTTAGTGGAAATAACATTAGTTTGGGTATCGACATCGACCACATCAGGAGAGTTGCCGTATATTGACAATGCCATTGTTCCCACCTCTTGGGTCTCTTGCTTTTGTGGCATAGTTCCACTGTCTATGAATTGCTTTTCCTCGTGCATTAACTGTTCACATCGAACACACTCTAAAATGTCAGACTGAGAATTACTAAAAGAGGTGTCTAAACTAGAATTGCCCATAGAATTATCCCCAAGTCTTGAATGTCCACATTGGGTCTCTTTGTTGTGTGTATCGATGATTTCCTTACAAACGCATAGCTCAGCCATCGTGATTTCATCCACCATTTGAATGTCATCTGTTGATATATTGGCATCCTGTGTTTGTATGTCAACACTGGTTTGTGCTTCTGTAGTCTGCACTTGTTCAGTCATTGTTTCTGTATCAGTGGAAACCATAACAGTCGCTATACCAGTCTCCCGATACGTTTTAACATCAGTGTATGTGGCTTGTTCCATTGTGATAATAGCGTTTGTCGATACACTGGCATCAAACGTAGCAGGAGTCGGAGGAGATACACCAGTATCCATATACTGAGGTTTATTGGTTAATGTCCATTTGTCGACATTTTGTATCGGACTTGTTCCTGTTTCTTTATCACATACACGTACATCTAATGTCTCCGTACTCGATTCCATACAATGAAAGCTCAAACGATCCATGGATTTCACCATGGCTTCTAAACTGTCTGTTCCTACACACGCGTTTTCAAATCGGACATTAGTGGATTTTATGGTCTCTGTGACCCCGTTTACGACCGGTTTGTCACTTAGAGGCACGTCGGTTTGAGATTGACCCGTAGATGTTTTGCACGGACGCATATTCGTTGCTACAGTTCGTTGCTTTGGTCTAACTTGTATGCCATGACTCTCTTGTTTCACAGAATCTGTTAGTGTTCCGTTTTCTAATAGAGTAGGATTCACAGTACACATTGCACGTTCAGTCGTCATAGTAGATTCTGTCCATGTTACTTTAGATTCACTTGTAACATGAGGCGTTCCGGATGCAGAATCAACACACGAAACTTTGACAGTAGAAACACTTTTATGCTGCTGTCCCTCATAATCAGTAGCAGCCGAACAAGATGTGGTGCTAATGATCGGAGTTTGCGTCTCGATTATACCAGTATTTGGTAGCACCATAATACACTGATCTTTTTGTACTATTTTATCGGGAGAGGTTTCTTTATCTACCATCTTAGGTTCAGAAGTAGAGCGGTTTAGTCGGTTTATCTCGCGACGATCTCGACGCCTTCTCCTGTCACTACGACTATTGTCTTCAGAATGCCCATTAATCCTGACTTCATCGTTCATTAATGACCCATTAGAAAAAATATTATCACCCTCATTATTACCAATAGTACTGATGTCTGTCTGTATTTTTCGACTACGAATCCATCTATTTAGTCTATTATTAGAGGAATTTGTATCACATGCTGCGCTGAGAGAATTAGTCCCGTTAGTCAGAGGTATTGAGGTCATACAAGTCTGATCATACATTACAACTTTATCTGTTTGATTCTTTTGAGTCCTTGTGTCGTTTTTAAGGGTCATGGTCCCTCTTGTTTTTGTGTCAACCTCATACGCGTTGCTTCCCCTGTCTCGGAAATCAGTTCGTATTGTGTTTGTTTCTCTATTCGATGTCACTAAACCCTCTGTTTGATTACCCCCACATTTTAATGATATGTTCATGTTAGCGTCCATACTGGTGGTACTATTGGACACCTCTTTACTGGCGGTCTGTGTGGATTGTGTGACACCACTGCCCCTATGAATTTCAGATTCGAACTCCTCATCTTCACCTTTGATAGAAATATGTCCAAGTGTCACATCCCCCGGAATAAAACGTACGTCTTCAGGCAAATTGTCTGGAATATCAGGTAGTTTAGTTTCTAGGAGATGTGCGAATTTAGCCTGAAGTTCACGTTTTAATAACATCATTTCAACACCTTTATCTTTCATGATAATTTCAGTCAAGTTACATGTACTTTGTAAATTATCTAAATTTTCTTGCAACCAGGATTTATTCTGAATAAAGTCCATCACATTATGCCCGAAAAGATCATCCACCTTTTTGATGAGTTCACGTTCCTTAGCACGTACTTGTGTCATATAATCGATGGCAATATCACGAATACGCTCACGGATTTCTTTCATCAATAACTCATATTTGTCAATAATTTTCACGCGATCAGAAACACCCCCTAACCTTTGTTTACACTTGTCTAATAAGTCTACTAACGTTTCTTTATATTTAGTAAAACCTTCATTAAAGGAACATATTTCATGGTCGCGATGTTCCTGGAAGGTACAAACCACACAGATACAAGCGTCACATGGTTCACAATAAAACCGAACTATCTCCTCGGGATGTGCTTTACACTCAATATCCTTCTCACCCTCGATATCAATCAGACTGTGCTTCTGGGTGACTTTAGTCGTCATGTGTAATTCCACACAACCAGCACACAATAACTTATTACATTCTAAACATTTGGAGCAGGCTTCATTAGATCTTGGTCTAATAGTATGGCATATTTCACATGGGGGCACCTTGGTACACACACGTTTATTTATAACTTCAGTCAGACTAGAAACTAGAAAATTATCCTGAAGGTTTCGTATACCTCCCGATGGAATTTCAGTCTTTTTCCGACACAAAGGACATCCAACATATCTACTGTACAGATTATAGCGACTTGGTCTGCTATTCTCTGCTTCTGTATGTTTCTGAATACAATCACAACAAAATGTGTGTAAACAAACTAAAGTCTTCGGATCTTTGTATGGTTCAAAACAAATTTTACAAATGAGAAACTGGTCGTTTATTTCTTTCATAAGTTTCGTTCCCGTCGCCATTTTGTGATAGTGTGTTTGCAGTTGTCGTTGGCAATATTTGTCTACAGGTTAGTTCAGATTATTTTGGATGCAGGTTTATTGGTGGTTGAGTTGACACAAGACATCAAGACGTGTTGTATTTGAAAGTAAATAACACAATGCTCTCTTTAGGGAAATATTTCAATGGTTAAGAATTATTTTCTTTATCTTCATCACAGCTCATGCTATTTGTTGTTCATCTAAAAGTATAAACAGTAAGAAATTAGTATGAATTAGCATTTATGACCATTAAATATACATCATCACACAAATGTTATGTATTAAAGAAGGCTCTATATTGTATGGTTCACGTGCCTTTATATGACATTCTACGATGTAGAAGTATCATATCATTACGTGATTCCACCTAAACAAAGCTTTTATTGACGTATTTTAGTATTAGTATAAACAGCTTTTGCGATAGTGACGTCATAAATCTCTTTTGGTGGATTCCAAGATCCACAGACGTCTGATTGAAAATTGGATTTATGCAAATCAGACATGTTTACCATACACACATAAACGGTTAGAAAAACTACCTTACAATCCCTATAAGAAACTGGGATATCATCAGAAACTATGATATGAGGTTAATTTGGAAGCTTGTATTTCACGAATGAATGGAAGATTTAATTTCACGTATAAATGGAAGTCTTAATTCTCTTATCAACAATCACGTGTGTTCTATAATTAATACAAGAAGTAAGAACATCAGGTACAAGCAACTGAAACGTTACACCGAAACCATATTTTCACAACACCAAGAAATCTCTTGTCTAATCAAAATATTTTCTATATTATCGTTACCTCAGAATGTCATCTTTCACATAACGTACGTTATATTTTAATGGAGCTGAAAGCCTGTAGTATAAATAAGCTCTTGTTATCATTTGTTCAACAAAGTTTAAAGATTAATGATAAACATTACACGGAATATTCTCCATTCATTGGCACTGGTAATCAGACGGATATTTAGATACTGGCTTCACCAATCTCTTCTGTACACAATTTAACTGAAAAAATATATCCGGTAATAGATTCCTGATTCCATCTCTTACGTATTTAAAGGTTGTACGACATTTTGAATTTCGAATTCTTTTGATTTAATTAAAAGCAAAGTTCAATTTAAAAATTTCATTATCGTACTTCGATGCTATCAATGTCAGACGATATATATTTTAACATAATATTTTCGGGGGTAAAATGCAGCTTTACATTTGTGGGTATCATCACATCACAAAAAAAATTTCGCCCAATGTATAAAATCGGCGCTCATGACCATTGGTATTGTATAACTCAAATCAGGTTTTGAGCATGCATAATCAGGTTATGTCTGTGTCTATCTGGGACAATCACTTTCAGAAAATACTATAATATTGAAGAATAGCTGGTTTAGTGGAGTAAGATTTTCACATGCACAACTATAAACAATCTAGTAGAGAAAATTTCAGAATTAGTTTATCATTCTTTACCTCAAAGTTCAAATTCATATGATTGGTGTAGATACGAAAACAGTTCTTCTAGCTTCATACAGTTATTAAAGATGGTATCGGGAATAGTTTCGTACGATTTATCACTCTTAGGTATTTCTCACAGAAACTGTTCCGCTGAAATATACAAATATTAATATCATGAGTTAAAGATACAAGTAATTACTGGAATTTTCATATAGCAATATAAATCGAAACAAATAAGCAATATCATTTTGCTGCTCTTACACCTCTGTTGGTGCTGTTGTAACGGGCGGTAAAAGTCAAGTGAAATGTAGTTTTACGTCCTTTTTTCTGCACTTGATAGACTGAGAATAGCACGTGAGTTCTGAATAAAAAACTAAAACATCACAATAGCTGCTCAAAATGGAAATTGCGACATACTGAATGATTAGTACAGTACATCAACGATAGACTCACTTGCTCAGTAAAGATAATCAGATGTCCTTCATTTGAAATGGCGACAAAACACCAAGTGCATAGACGTAACAAGTTCATACAAGTGTATTAATGTTTTTTTATATTTAACAATTTACACCTTTCTACTACTTGTAGTGTACAACTTTCACATAATATAATACATATTTATAGCTTCTACTTATCAATTATAGAGAAGTTATATACAGGTAATAATAACATATATCAATGAGCGTATAGGTATAATTCATATTACAAAGTAGCTGGAGCAAAAGACCTAAAATGCGATGCTTTACAGTATAAATATACATCTGGTGAGAATTGCCTTCTGAAACAAGATTTGTTACCAAACCCCAAATTATGTTACCTCCGAGCTTGACGAAATACACGACAGCATGTTCAGTTATAAAGCCCAAGACAGCTATAACCTAACTTGCAGTATTACGTTTTATTACGGACCTATTTCAGAGACATTAGATTACGGATACAATCATTTGTTTCTTAATAGCTAAGAATACATCGTACTTTTTCGCCTCAAGAAGACATCACATTATAAATGATGTAGATCCTAATGGTTGAATACACTCCACATTTACACTATTGAATCATACATGTCAGAACAAAGACCGTTTATATGTTTCCAAATGATAAAGAGACATCTTTGTATGCTTTAAATTTTGAATTATATTTAAATGCCTCTTGATATTTAAGCCAATCACACAACTTGTAAAGCCTCTTTAAACATGTGTTAAACTTGAAAACTCTTTGATAATGTTATTTGTATGTTGCAGGTATTTCGTGGCAGATGTTTGAAAATCTTTTTAAATTATAACCTGAATTACTTTGATGTGAGTTTTAAAGTGGGTCATTAATTGGTGATATATTACATGTGTAGACGCTTCGAAATACGTTTATATCACTGGCGTCAACATAATTCTGAGCAAATTCGATAAATCCTCTGTAGTGTAGTAACAAGTCCAAAACCAGCAGACTTTATCCAGCCTCTGATAACTCTTTTTGAGATGATGCTTCGAGCTGTGCCATGAAAGATCGTATCGAATACGCAGGCATTGTCATTTTTATAAACCAACACTGACGCAGGGAAATAGGACGTAAAACTCACTTCATTTCTTAAGTCAGATGTCTGCTATGATCAGAAAACGACAGGCGAGACAATGACATAACCCTTACTTACTTACCATCTTCACAATCTCCTGCTATTAGGAACCGCATTTAACACCTTGACTTCACTGGACTCTTCTCTTGTATCATGGAATGGGGCGATTTGATAGGATTGTATGCTAGTGAATACTGCCAATCAGTGCCTTCGACATGGCTTATTGTTAACAGACTTTCTGTCGAAGATTCTATCTGGCTGTATTCGGTAACGTTTACAATAAAAATACATCTCTGCATTAACAAACCTCAGTGTTACAAAACAAAAACCTAATGAAGTCAAGGTATTAGACGATGTTCGTGATAGCTTAATAGCGGAAGCATGTCCAACAACACAACAAACACAGACGTATCAATTTTCTTTAATTATTATGATGTGTCGAATCTATACGTATCGAAACCCAAAATACAAGCAACTTTGGTTCTTTGATGAAATGGGGTGTCTGGAACAAGACATATTTCTAACGTAACGATGTAAGATAACCAGTTTACATGACGTTGAAGTGTTTTCTTTTTAATTATCTTTCAGAGATTTCATGATACAGTTTTAACGACCAAGATTTCTGATAAAACAAGTTTGATATTTGATTGATTCGAGTTTTTTCTTACTTTACTGCTACTTCAAAGCTTTGTACTAAAATGCAGCGTTTTCGTTCTTCATAAAAAGATTTTAGAGTAACCGATTTTTAGAGAAGGTTCATGTTAAATTCTTTTTTATGATTCTGTTTAGTATCCAGTTCTGACAGGTCATGACATGGTCCTTATACCGGAAGTAATATTAAAGTCACAGATGCGTCATTTTTTGACCAAAAGTGCCTTAGTCTCAGAAACGGGAATTTTTTGGCTAAGCCAATCAGTAATGGGCAGACGTGTCATGTGTCATTTTCTATGCATTATTGATGTTTTGAATAATGACACTCGGACGAATCACACTACTACGTTATTATAACGGTAACGCCCGTGGTGCCTCAAAGAGTTACTTACCGGATCGTTCACCTGAGGGTTCGGAGCTCGATTAGTCCCGAGAGAAGCTGATTGGTAAAACGTAAAACTTCAATTAACTAAGGTGCAGGATATAAATTGGTAAATCGACAATTCAAACAATCTGTTCTTAAATCAGGTCAAGCGAAATACCAAATGCTGCCTATATTCATAATGGTCTTACCGTGTATAATTAACAGTTTATTAGGTGTATATATCCCTATTAAGGCACTGAGTGGTATTCCTGTACCATGTCATATCTTATATCCATTTACCATATCACTACAGTTAAATATACACTTAGCTGGCATAGATCTACTTTTCTTTATGTCTTTTCAGTTCTGTAGATCGTGAAGAATGTTTTATTCATTCGTCGAGGTTGAGTTTATCATTCGAACGTAAATCTTTGCTCTTTGTTTCTATTTCCCAGTCTAATATTTAAATAACTAACTAACTCAATTATCAAATATAGTGCACAGTTTGTAATAATTGCCAACCATAGTCTAGTTGAATAGAATAAACATACACAGTAGGTTCAATATAATTTTACTCCAAATATTTTCAATACTCAGCAGTTAGCTAAATAGTCAATTTTTGCTTCGTTCAATTACATCACAGATTCCGTACTACGGACTCCAACCTTGTAAATCCAATAATGTTCCATTTTTGTGATAAAGACGGTGAGAGGTAGATTTGGAGGTGTATTAATATTTGTAGTAATGATAGACATTCTTGAGAAAGGTTAACAGTACACAGATACACGTCTACATATTACATTGAACAGTTCATACAGCCCTCATATCGTTTTAACATAGCACCGATACTGTTAACTCACTTAACATACTGCTTCTTTAATTTCCCTTTATCACAGGTATCATTGCTTGCTGGCACATTCTGATATTCTACTTGATGTTTTAA